TATACTGTATTTTTGTACTTCTATAAAAGAAACCCCAAATGAAGTCTGTCTGCTGTAATCTGTAATTTATAAAGGTATCTTCTTCTCATCATCACCCAAAGATTTACTTTCTCAAAAATTTTGAATAGCTGCTTTGGTTATTAATATTTATGCTGTATAATGAGATATTTATGTCACATATTGTACAGAGATTGACAGAATCGCTTTTATTTTTTTGGAAACTATAGTAATCTATTTCATCTTTCCTAATTATCTGGAATTTCCCATGTTCCTCATATTTCAGGAATAATTGGGTTATTCCTTCAAGAAAAAAAGAATATAACACAGGGAAGTGGAATTAATAAATATATATCCTATATATACAGGTAACATTATTCAAAATTCCATATCATTCTTTGCTGCTGACTGCTTTTATAATTTTTCTACTGAAAATTTTTCAGCCATCCTTTTTTTTTTCTGCTTAAAAATAAATTAGAAATCTCTTCAATAGATAGACTAGATATTTCAGCTCTCACTTGATAGACTTTTCAAATACAAACCTTGCCTAATCCACTCTCCCCATCCTCCCCAAATCCAAACAAACAAAACTAAAAAGTTTGAGTTATGAGCACGTAAGAACACAAGTTCTGTAAACAATGTCCATTTCTTTCACATTTTTCACAGACATCAACAATACATCAATTTGTGACTAGTTGTCAAAGAAAGATAAAAGGAAGTTTAGAAAGGAGGAAAAAGAGAATTTAACAAGACAGCACAACCTGGTTTTACTCCTTTGGGATGGCGTTTTTTTTAATTTCTTCTAGCAGAAATAGAGGACACAATTTAATTTTGATTGCTGCTTTTTATTCACTGCTTTTTGAATAGATCTTACTAAATCATACCAGTTTGCTGGGGCAAACAGTACATTGTAGTAAACAAAAGAAAGAGAAAATGAAACTGCACCATAATGAATTACACTGACAGAAGTTATTATTTTTCCTTGCATAAGCTGAGATTGGATATTTAAAACTTAGAACAGTATAACTTGGCATTCTTATAACCCTGCCAGCCATATGTGACTTTTTTTTTTTAATCAACAAGATAAAGACGTGGAAAGAAAGGGTTGCTTTCAGGAAAGATTTGAGTTTTAGTGTTAGAAACTATCCTCTTACTGAGGTACATGGGATTGCAGTCAGTATCTACCTCTAATTTTATTATTTTTGGTCTTTCTTAACTAGGCAAGAGACAACTAGGAAAAAGAATAGCAAAAAACCAAAAACACAAACAGACAAACAAAAAAAAACCCAGACAAAGTAGTTTTGTGGCTTCAGTTCAAAGCCATCTATGTAGTTTTACTAAGCTATTGATTTGGAGCTACTTGGTTTTTTGCCCTTTGTGCTTGCCATGTTCTTTCTTTTAGTATCTTCTATCATGTTGATGTGCTATTGAAACCGAGTGGTGTTTATTCCAACGCTTAAAGATTTGCTGTGCATACAGAACTGGGAGTACAGCCCTACAGCCTATTTGTGCACACTCCGTGTAAATCAAATAGCATGCTGAGCCTTAGAATATTACTGTGGGTTACTGTGCCATAACCTGAACTGCAGAATATTCTGTCTCGGGGAAAAACAGCCTGCTGGATCTTGTCAGCTGTGCACTTAGGGAAGTGAGGGAGAAAATGATTAGATAACATCCTTATCTGTGAAGACCCAAGAGAACTGTGTTTTCCATATTCACAAGCTACCTGAAGGTATTGGCAGCAATATCTACTTCAAACAAACAAAAATTACCCTGATAGAGAGCATCATTCAGAAGCAAAGAAAGAGAGGTCAGAGCACATTTCTGCAACACCGCAGAATCCTGGCCAGTCTGCACATGCTCACAGTGCAAGCCTGTCTAGCTGGAACATCTTTCTTCTGTTTAGATGTGTGAAAATGACAAGTTAGGACAAGGAGAGTGCTAAGGAAAAAGTGGAGAAAATGGAGCTTCTCTTACACTGATGTCTTATGGAGGGGTGTTGGGGAGAGCCCCTCCACTGATAGTAGTGTTCCCTGTCTCAGCTTGTAAATAGAAGAGGTCTAGCAATTATTTCCTAATCAACACTACATTAGTCTTAACATGGTGGTGGAGAGATATTGATTCAAATTAATCCTTTAGATCTCCCTGATTTGTATTTTATTTTGGAACCCTTGGTGAATGAGTTGTTCTGGCTATGCCATGAAATACTGGGTTTTATCACCTCTTGGCTAGGAAGGAGATTCTCTTTGTCTAATATAAGATGTCTAGGCTGGAGTCAAGAGCATCTTTTTACTCAGTGGAAAGACATGATGGTTTTACAGTGCACAGTTCATCTGACCTATTATAAACATCAATATTACATTAGGGAATATGACATCAGAATACTCTATTCTGCTGATTCTTAAGAAAGTCTAGACAACTAACTCACTAGTCCAAATTTAGCTGAAGTGTATTTCACAGGATTAAATAAAACCAGGGAACCACTGTGACTGAAAAATAGTTAAAAACTTTGTGTTGTTTTTGTTTAAGCAGCCTTATATAAGATAAAAAATGATTGATAGCAAATTATAACACCAGGCCTAAAGGTACTTTCTCATTCTACGTGCTTAACCAGTAGATTTGAACAAGAGAGATGGGAGAAATAAATTCTCTTAATCCCTCTGCTAGTTACTCTGCAAGTTGAGTAACTCAGTCAAACAAGTAGACATAAAGGTGAGCTTTCTCTCAGTCATCCAGAATGTAAGCATCCAGTCTGGATTTCTTTTCTGAGTCCATCTACGGTCAGTGGAGAAAGGCACCTCCAGAGGGCAATATCTTCATGTTTGAGCAAAAATATCTTGAATGCATAGAACTAGTCACCCTAAAGAAATAATCGTCTTCACAGACTGGTTTGAGAACAAGGTGACTAACTCAGACTAGGAGCATAGCTTTTCAGTGTCTAACAGAGAAAAAGAGGATGGGCTAATGGTTGTTCTAGCATTGTAGGAGCTAACTATAGAAATTTGTTTCTGCCACAAACTTCCTCTGTGTACGTAGCAGTACGTTTGGAAGGTGATCTACTTTTCCCTAGGATAGAATTTGCTTGAATGGATGGAATGAAATTGCGAACTGTGATTAGACTTCCAGGGTAATGTGGTGGAATTTTAAGAGACTTTAAACATGGAGGAACACAGTGGATCATTTTTGTCTGGCCTCTTGTATAGTACATAGATTATAAAGAATGTTTTGCTGTGCTTGAATCCTCTGATTTGCATGTATCGAAATCAGCCAAACTTAGAATTTCAACCTTTTCAATTTAAATTTGTCCCTATTCCAGGAATTAAATATGTTTCTTTGGGTTTGTGCTGTAAGGGAGTTTCAGGCTGACCACTTTTGCAGTTACTGTTTCATGCATTGGGAGTCAATGCTGAATCATCTTTCTTTCAGTCAGCAGTTTCTAAGCACTCCAGCAGTTGTCTCTCTAGCACCTCTGATTCCCCATGACTTCTAAGATAACTCTGTTGATACAAGTATGGAAACAAGATGACCCCAGCCTTAATAGAAGTCTGTAAAACAAATGTCTTTGTGGCTAGAAATTATTTAGAGGAATGATGGTAAGAAGGGTCCAGAACTTTACTGCAGATCCTTTTAGTTAGTCTCACACTCCAGATTAGCAGTAGAAAACTAGGGATAACATTTTCCCAGTAGCTCAACTCCCTGTATGGTCACAGTTTGGGAACTAAGACAGGCTAGTGACCAGTCAAAGAAGGCAGCTTAGATGTGGCTACACTCTATTGGAAGGTGACAGAGTTTAAGGAACATAGCAGACTACATAATATTGCATGCATAAATAAATCAACAGGCTGGGGTTGTGCCACATGGTTTCTCTGCCAGAGAAACAGTCCTTCTCACATTTCATTTACTGGTATAGACTTAGCCATGGAGCCCTCAGCAGGGCTACTACCAGCCCAGGGAACATTTCCAGACTGCAGGAGCTGAAATACCCCAGAGTCTGTGCAGCAAAACAAAACTAGAAATCTAGGTAAAATTTGGTCCTACAGCAGTTTACTTGCAGATGTTTCTCCAGAGTTGCCACAGCATCTGGGACAGCTGAGATCCCTGGAGTGATTTCAGCACTGCAGCTTTGCCTACCATGGTCTATGCGAGTGTTTTCAGGACAGCACAGTTTTGGGTTGCAGCAGAGCTATAGGCGAATTCAGCTGTTAAAGAGCTAACTAAATAAAATTTCATCATAAAATGTAATGGATAGTGTAATAAATAATATACATTATTAAATATAGTAAAATATGTAGCATCAAGATGTATAAAATCAGTTTCTTTAGTAGTAAGGTGTAGTAAATGTTGAAATAAGTCCTCAGTTAAAATTTGAATTTTATACATACTTTGTATTACATAAGTTTCCTTCCTTGGTTCTTTTATCTAGTACATCAAAGAACCCTTTAATAACCAGCATTTTCTGTCTTTGAAGGTACTCAGTGCTGTAATCAAGTCTCCTCTTGCACTTCTTTGCAATAAACTGATCAAGTTCCTTAAAGTCTCTTTGCTCTATGACTTTTTGTTCAAAATTAAGAAAATTTTACTTCAGACTGATAAAAATTATTTTTGTCAACATCACTTTCTTATGAATTACTCCTTAGGAGGCATAAGTTGTATAACACATACTGAAAATGTATTTTCCTCTTTTCAGTGCCCCAATTCAGTACCAATGGTATCGGCTGGGGAGGCTTTTCATTTCTTTGCCATTAATTTTCAATGAGGTATCCAAAGAACTGATAGGAAGAAAATCTGGACATCACTCATCCCACGCTGTTATTGTCCAAGGTCATGTCTAATAACATACAAGATTTAAAGTGATTTGCCTTCTTGTTTTCTTCACCTTTATCAGAATCCCAAGCTTTCAGTTTGGATGTTAAGATCTGAGAGTCAAAGGAGAACTGACGATTTCTGCAAAAATGTCAACCAGGCCAACATTAGAGTAACTCTGCTTCTGCTCATTTTTCTAGGTATAAAGATTTGGCTGATACAGCAGCAGGAGAGAAGAAGTTGTCTGCCAAGGAGAGATGTCGTCTTGTTCTTCAGCAGTGTAAATTACAAGGCTGGCAGGTTTGTGATCTACAAAGCAATTAAAATATCATTCTTTAAACAAGCTAGCTGAGTCATTTCCATTGTGGCAAGCCACCAGATCCTTTGCAGCAGTATATTCTTTTGACATTTAATATGTGCTTTGGTATATTATCAAATTGATTTTCTGAGTTTTCTAGAATATGAGTAGCTGTGATCATTGTGTCAAAAAAATCAGTGTATTCTTGTGGGAAGGAAAAGCTTTCAATTAAGCATGGTACACTGTATAAATTTGTATCCAGATTTTTGAAGTTTTTTGGTATATACATTTTAGTTGTTGAACGGTTCCTGAATTTCAAAAAAACCTACATATTTTCTTTCTTTACAATCCTATGCTAAATGCTATACTGTCATGACAGGAGAGACCCAAAACAACTAATTAGGATTTCCCATCTAGCCAATACCTTTGTAGGTGCCAGCTTGCTGATCCACAGATATACCAGAGTACCTGGAGTTGGTGTACGTCAAGTAAAGTAAAAAAAACAACAACAAAAAAAGCAACAAACATTGAACAGGAAACTCTCAACTTCCTATCTTGTATTCTTACCTGATTTATATCCTAGTTAATTCTAACCAGCATGAACACTGCAAGGTGGATATCTCCATTTGTCTGGAGTACCCAGTCATCTCCATTGGGTAGCTTTGTAATTGAGCAGGACTTTAATATATGCACTTTCTAAAGCAAATGGTGTTTCCTCGCACAGTATGGAAGTTTTTGTATAGAGATGAAGCTTTCTGTGACTTACTGTGTAGAGCATTCCTCCAGGTGGTGTAAGCCTCAGATTCAGGCTTGTTTCCAGCCAGGAGAACTGAAATCTATTACACAAGAGAGCATCTAGACCACTTTCAGGGACAAGTATAAAGTTCAGGGACTAGACAGATGTTAGGGCACTCCTATAGGCTTCTTTTGTTTAAAGGATGGGGTCTTCTAATTCGTTTATGACCTCTAAGTATTAAGATGACTGGAAGAAGATTCTGCAACTGCTTATGATGGACAAGGACTATGTCAGACTGTGTGCTATGGGTCTTTTTTAGGAGCCCAGATTCCTTAGTAATAGCAAGAACAAAAGTAGACCACCCACTAGGCTGGGAGCACACATGCATGATCACCTGCACTAAGGCACATAATAAATTTTATCTTTGATTAAAATACTGTTAAGGTCCCATTTTAGTCACTAAAGGAAGTATTGGACACATATAGCCAGACTCCCTCAACAGCAAAGACCAAAAGGATGGAGTCCGAAAAAGATAACAGCATGAAACTTTTGTTTTCCTTACCCGGGGTCTTATATCAGCTCTGCATCCTTGACACAAGGTTTCCTATGAAAAAAACAAGCATTAACATCTATAAACTGTACTTTCCCTTACAAGTTCCTGGAGATAAGAGTACCACTCACCTTCAGAACTTCTGTGAGTCTACAAGCTTGACATTGGGCAAAAGCTGTGTAAGAGTAAGAACTGGCATTACAGCACACAAAAAACAAATGGCCTCAGTGAAAGCCTAGAGCTCAAGACTAGTGATTCTGTAGCAACTGGCATTTGAAAACAAGCCTGAAACCTTGAAAGACAAAAATGTTAGAAGGAAATTCCAAAACAGAATCCCTCTATCATGCAGAGGACTGAAGCTTGTGATCTCAAACAGATTTTAGAGCTTCTAACTCCAGAATCTCATTAACACTAGGAAAAGTCAGGTGTGCAAAACTACAGCAGTGCATAATACTTTGTCCTTGAAACCAGAAAAGAACAAAATTCTTCAGAGACATTAATAACTTAAATCGAATAGGAAGGTTTGGGAATGAGAGTTGTACAGTTGTCATTCAGTGACTAAGAAGCACATGGCAACAAAGTTTAAAAGAACAAGGTCTGAAAAAATGGATGACCTTCTCCATACACCTTTTTGAAGCCACAGAAAGCTGTGACAAACAAATGGAAAGATGAAAATCATAGAAGAAAATTTTAGGAGAAAATTCACTCAAGTCTAATTGCTTAAATGCCTAGTGAATACAAGCTTAATACCAACATATTTTGTATAGGTGATACAAAACCATATACCCGACTATCAGCAGTAGTGACTAATGGCTGTGTCACAGAATGTCTCTCAATTATCATTTTGATTCATTTGACTAATCATGAAAATTGAACTTTAAATGACAATCTAGATGAGAAAGCTTATACAATCTGCAGTTGTCATGAGCACTTTCCTCAATGCTTTTACAGTAGAGGACTCTGAAAAAAAAAAGAAGAAAAAATTTAAAAAGGAGAAGGAGGAAGGAGGAAAGGGAAGGAAAAGAGGCATTAGGAAGCAAGGATGATGTCAGTTAGCAAAGTCAGAAGAAAGGTGTCATCTGTAGTGCATCACTTAAAATCATCCAAGCAGCAGGGAGTTACACATGTAACCAGTTTATTCAGCCCCTGTTACCAGCAGTAACTACTTCAAATGAGTCACTGCTGGAACTGAAAACCTATTTATTGCAGGGGTTCATGAATAAATCAAAAATTGTCTTCCCCGACACTGTTACCTGCAATTCCCTGAAGAGCTGTTGCAAATTTAGGTTGATAAATGGACCAAAAAGTAGCTAAAATAGCTTCATCAAAGATGGTGATGTTTAGGAGAAAGCAAAACACATTTGAAATCAACCTCCAGCTTATATGTCATCATCAGAGGATGAGGTTGTCAGTAAACTCTCCAACAGAGGGGGGAAAAAGAAAGAACTGGACTTTTTAGCTGAGTGAGACTGGATGATACTTTAACTTCCTTCTGATAATGTACCTCACCATCCCATTTTGAGAAAGGTAATATTAACCTGGTGAAGGGGAAAATATTCTGAACTAAAAGTCTGAAAATGAGTAAAGAAAATGATCTCTTTGTATTTATTTCCTGCTTGACAATTTATCTTTTCCTTCTTACATAGGTTGTGTTTGAGGAGTGTTTTATTAACCAACAAAACAACAAACCCTAGACCCTACTCACAGAACAAGTTTTTTCTTCTCTTATAAATAGTGCAGTGTGTTTATAAATGGAGAAAAAGTGCAGAAGATCCAATACCAGAGTCCAATTTTGGTTTATTTTCTACCATTTAGTAGAGCATAAGAGCAAACACTATCAGCTACCCAACATCTGGTGCTTGATTCAGTAGCTCCTGTGTTATATTAAAGTATTTTTTATCATAGAATCATTAAGGTTGGAAAAGATCTCCAAGATAACTGAGTCCAGCCTTTGACTGAACATGTCAGCTGGACCATAGTGCTAAGTGCCATGTCAAATTGTTTCTTGAGCACTTCCAGGCACAATGACTTCATCCACCACATGCCTGGGCAGCCCCTTCCAATTCTTAGCCACTCTTTCAGTGACAAAGTTCTTCCTAATGTCTAACCTGAACCTCCCCTGACACAACTTGAGGTCATTTCCTCTTGACTTATCCCAGTTGCGTGGGAGAGTAGGCCAAGCACTACATTGCCACAACCTCCTTTCAGGTAGTTGTAGAGAGTGATAAGCCTCTCCTCAGTCTCCTTTTCTCTAGGCTGAACAACCACAGCTCCTTCAGCTGCTCCTCATAGGACTTGTGCTCCAGCCCATTTACCAGCTCGTTTGCCCTTCTCTGGGCTCACTCCAGCACCTCAATGTCTTTCTTGAAGTGAGGGCCCCAGAAATGAACACAGCACTCAAGGTACAGCCTCACCAGTACAAAGTACAGAGGGACAATCAATTCCCTGGTCCAACTGGAAACACTGTTTCTGATACAAGCCAGGATGCCATTGGCCCTCTTGGCCACCTGGGCTCATGTTCAGCCAGCTGTCAAACAGCAGCCCAAAGTCCTTTTCCTCTGCTCCAGGCTTTCCATCCACTCTGCCCTCAGCCTGGANAAAAAAAAAAAAACAAAAAAAAAAGCACCAAACACTGAACAGGAAACTCTCAACTTCCTATCTTGTCTTCTTACCTGATTTATATCCTAGTTAATTCTAACCAGCATGAACACTGCAAGGTGGATATCTCCATTTGTCTGGAGTACCCAGTCATCTCCATTGGGTAGCTTTGTAATTGAGCAGGACTTTAATATATGCACTTTCTAAAGCAAATGGTGTTTCCTCGCACAGTATGGAAGTTATTGTATAGAGATGAAGCTTTCTGTGACTTACTGTGTAGAGCATTCCTCCAGGTGGTGTAAGCCTCAGATTCAGGCTTGTTTCCAGCCAGGAGAACTGAAATCTATTACACAAGAGAGCATCTAGACCACTTTCAGGGACAAGGATAAAGTTCAGGGACTAGACAGATGTTAGGGCACTCCTATAGGCTTCTTTTGTTTAAAGGATGGGGTCTTCTAATTTGTTTATGACCTCAAAATATTAAGATGACTGGAAGAAGATTCTGCAACTGCTTATGATGGACAAGGACTATGTCAGACTGTGTGCTATGGGTCTTTTTCAGGAGCCCAGATTCCTTAGTAATAGCAGGAACAAAAGTAGACCACCCACTAGGCTGGGAGCACACATGCATGATCACCTGCACTAAGGCCCATAATAAATTTTATCTTTGATTAAAATACTGTTAAGGTCCCATTTTAGTCACTAAAGGAAGTATCGGACACATATAGCCAGACTCCCTCAACAGCAAAGACCAAAAGGATGGAGTCCGAAAAAGATAACAGCATGAAACTTTTGTTTTCCTTACCCGGGGTCTTATATCAGCTCTGCATCCTTGACACAAGGTTTCCTATGAAAAAAACAATCATTAACATCTATAAACTGTACTTTCCCTTACAAGTTCCTGGAGATAAGAGTATCACTCACCTTCAGAACTTCTGTGAGTCTACAAGCTTGACATTGGGCAAAAGCTGTGTAAGAGTAAGAACTGGCATTACAGCACACAAAAAACAAATGGCCTCAGTGAAAGCCTAGAGCTCAAGACTAGTGATTCTGTAGCAACTGGCATTTGAAAACAAGCCTGAAACCTTGAAAGACAAAAATGTTAAAAGGAAATTCCA